GGAAAAAGAAAAGAAAAAGAACATTCTATTAGCAGAAAGAAGACAGTTAAATGTCTCACATGCCTTTAGCCTTTTAACTCTGCAAAGATTGTGTTTTTATTTTGCTTTCCGTGCTGCCTTTTGGCTTTTTTTCTTGCTTGCAACTTTGATCTCGTCTCAGCCAAATCTCACATGCTTATGCCTTATTGCATCATAGGAGATAACATATTAACGATTTAACATAATTGAATTAATTTATCTGATTTGAAGTTGAGTTGATCTTCTGTTTTTGATATGGGGCAACAAGGAATAAAATTTGTAACTTTATTAATTTTGAAAAGAGAATACGAACATAGCAAATCTAAGAATTCAAGAATCTTGTTAAAATACACAAACAGTTCTTTGATTATTAACATCTTATTTCCCCTAGTCGTCCCAGTGACTTCTCTTCAGATCCGGAGTCAGGACTACATTAATATTGCAGCTGCAGCAATCCTGTATTGAGGCTTTGAAGTTTCACCATTTCAGCTTTGCTGGAAAATACTGCAATTTTTTTTTGTTCAATTCAGAAAAATTAATCAACTTTGAAATCTTGAGTGCAGAACCATTAGGCAAAAAAAGGGAATGATGAGCTTACCTTTGCAATAAGGGATTCATAATATGGCTTGACCTCTTCAACATCAACCAGAACTTTGCTCTTGCTGTAGAGGTCATATTTGCTGTCAAGATTTTATGAAAAGAAAGTCAATAAGTTTTCACAAAACAATTGCACAAAAATTAATATAGCAACTTGAAAATAAGGAATACGAGGACACTTACTTGAATACTTTAAGCCATTTCATGTTCTCCCTATCCTCCTCATTCATCAATTGTGCATATGCTCCGTACTTGTGCAATGCTGTAAAGATGGGAAGGAAATCGATTCCGTTAGCCAAATTGAGTAGTAGCATAGCATGATCAGAAAAAAAATAAGTTTCATTCTAATTACTTACGATAGAAGGAATGATATCGGATGATGAACAGTCCTGCAGAAGGCAATGTGGTTCCATTTTCCTTGGCCACCTAAAAATTATGAGATAGATGATATAGTATTAACTAAAACTTGTGGCAAGAAACAATATGGACTAGATTTAAGTGACTTTAGTTTGGAGGGATTGATTGATTGATCGAGTCAAATGTATACCATGTACATATAGTCATCGTGTCCCCATGACATGAGCACATTATCTAGTCCACACCCTTCAGAGTAAATCCCATTTATGGTGTTGTAAATTGGATTGTTGAAGTCAGGATTATCATTAAAATACTGCAGCACAGAATTTGTGAATTGCAAATTCATCTTGAGTTAAGATCGTATATATATAACACAATTATGTTTAATTGGTAAATGATTAAAGATCAAAGCTAAGATTTAAAAACCATGTGATGAACATTGGACTCATCAAAAGCACATCCAACTGGGAATGTGTCACCTGTTATATTGAAATTAACTTGTCACTTAAAATTATATGAGGAAATATGGAACTTTTTTATTTTTATTTTTTGAAACAAATACTTACCAACAACAGCCCATTGAGGTAGCTCTCCAAATTTTGGAAGAACCAGGATTTTTCCAAGATCTGAAAAGCATTGAAACTCAATAAGTTAATTATTGTAATTTTATCATTACAAGATAAAAAGGCAAAGAGAGAATATTGTAAGGGGTTTTTATTTTTACCATGAATAAGAGCAGTCAGGTGCAACCAGTCTTCATTAGGATAGTCTCTTCTGATTGCTTCAGCGCTCTGCAGCAAATGCTGAATTTGAGGTTCGTCCAAATCAGGATCACTGTCATCAACAACCTCATTCAGAAGTTCACAACATTCCCATATTCCCATCTCTGCCTTATCAAGCTTCTTGTACTCCTCCCTCATCTGCTTCACCTGCAATATTTCATTTTGTAATGCATTAGAATGTCCAAACAGTAACTTACACCATGGATGATTCCTTATATAAAAATTTACTTACAAAATCATATGTTTGGTTAATATGACTTGATTTGTAGTGTTGCTCAACAATGTCTTTCCTTGCACCATCTGCTTCATAATCCCTATCAACCATTTCACCAAATATTGAGTATTTTAATCAGATATATTCTAGGAAAATATTCAATAAAAATACAAACCTGTAGAGAAAATGATTTACCTGAATGAGTTTCCAAAAGCATTTGTTTCAGGCGTTGCAAATTCTTCATTGATACCAATTGATTAGCATCAGGCTGTATCTTCTTTCCCTTTCCTTGAGTAGCTGAAAACCAAATAATGCATATGCTAAGATTGAAACAAATAATCAACATTGAATCTGAAATGAAAAGCAGATCAAATACCAATAGTTGATCAGGATTCTCAATGCAAATAGTCATCTTCACTGCAATTACCAAGGTAAGTTGAGAAAATCAAGAGAAACCAAAGAACTTTTGGGACAAATGAGACTTATAGGATAGGAATTTTGTAGCAAATAGAAGAGTCCTTGTCAAGATGTTTTAGAAGATCTAGAGCCCTTAACTGATAATCTGCTTTCCATTTACTACAAAATTAATCCTTAAAATTAGAATAATTTTGACAAGTTTTTAATTCAAAAAAATCTGTACCCAGCAAATTAGGCAAAGTTCTCTCCAAAATTTATGTGGCTTCTATCTTAAGTCCTGACCAGATTTCCTAACTATACAATTTTATCTTTGGCTGATTCAAATTGACGTGGATATCTTATCTTTTTCTGAGTGGGATTGGGTCTGGGAGGGTAAAAATCTGATGTGGCATCTAGTCATGGAGATACAAGGATATTTTTTGACCAAACCCTAATTAATTTGGGTGTGAAAGGAAGGTAAACTTAGAACATGCCATTTAGAATTTGAAGCATCAAAGCTGAAATCTTTGCTAAGTTGATTTCACTCTTATGGTCACGTCCAGAGGGAATTTCCATGCATGAATATGATCGCATTCTTAGTTGAAAGCCTGTATTGAGACTGAAAAAGAGGGGCTCTGGGTAATATTTAAACAGCCCATTTTCTTTTTTGGCCAAAAAAACAGCCCATTTTTTTCGGATTGTGTATTAATTAAACAAAAAGAGGGGCTCTGGGTAATATTTAAACAGCCCAGTTCAGACTAGACGAAGTCCGACAAGACAATGGGTTCAAGAACATTTGTCTCCGTCTGTTCTGCCCCACAATTACAAAAGCTTCGGTCCAATAGGGCAGGTTATGGACCAAGGAATAGGCTTTTCCCTTCTTTTTTTTTGTTTCTCTCTCTCTTTCTCTGTCTTGTATTTTTTTTGGTTTGATTATTGAGTCCTGTTTGCAGTATGTTTCAGTTGGCATGATATGAACATGCTCATATACATAGATAATGTGTTGATTACGTGCAATATTTAAACATGACTAGCAGAGTAGCAAAATGGTAATCGCATTTTGCAATGGCAGACGATGAATGACAAATTACATGTGGACCATTTGCACTTCAATTTTTTCTCAATACACCACATTTTTATTTATATCCAAAATTTAAAATATAATCCTTAATTTTTATCTTTTACATTCCACAAATATTATTCTTCTTCTACTAAAAAATCTTTCACACCCATTTTCCTCGTCTCCTTCTCCTTCCTCCTTTCCGTTCAAACTTTAAACCAAAATCAAACTTAAAATCTTCAATCAAACCCTACAATTACAATTTTTGGATTTAATCTAGTTACTCAATTTCAATATAAAGGTAAACCTTTTATTTTTATTAAAATTTTGAAAGCTAAAATATGATGCATTGGACTTTTGTGCTTGAAATCATGAATGGTGAAAATATTTTTTCTTATATTTCAAAAGGTTTATGAATATACATTTTCGTAAGCTTTTAAAATAGAAATGAGTGTGCAAAAAGGGATAAATGTAATTTTTCACAAGTTAATTAAGTAATTTCATAAGAGTATTTTTTTGTAATAAAAAATATGGGTGTGAAGAAAAATTGTACCAACTTCCTTAAATAAGAGCATAGTGTTGTCTGAAATTCTACCAACTCTATTGTTAATCAAGTTTATTAAAATATCAATTTTATTTTACCAATGACTCATTAATGTTTAATCTAATATCAAATAGACCAACATCCTCAAAAATCAAATACACTATTTTGTTACGAACATAGTTCATGATTGAAGTAAACATTTGGAGGAAACGCATGAAAAACACCGTGTATATATGCCATCTACAAAAACTTATATTAATGTTGTGTCGCATCCAATATAGAGACATTCAGAGAACATGGGCCACCCCTTCTGGACATGTTAACTTGAAAGGTAATCGGTGAGTCGATCTGTAATTTTGTACGAAAATTTACACCAAAATTTCAGTAATGTAATTAGTCTATTTCTTTTGCCGACTGAATTAATGTAAATATATATATATATATATTTTTTTGGCTCCTGGATTCAGAAACTAAAAGAGACGTCAAGATTCATCCGACGTCCCTGTCTGGTTTACACAACAAGACAGGATTCTTAAATAAGGTACAGATTCATGTTTCACAAGAAAACAAAAATTAAGGCTTAAAGGAGATGTGCATCGAATCTCACAAAAACCCTCTCTAATTCTCTCAGCTTTTTCTCCCGTAAAGCTACAAAAAAAAAAAAAAAAAACCATCCTTTTTTTCCAATTCCCTTCCAGGGCCCTTGCACCAAATTCTGCAATGTCACCCTTCAATATTTCTTCATCATCAAAACCCAACTGAAACGAAGATTTGGCTTCTATAAGAAGAGAGAGATGAGATACATTAACCCGCTAATCAAGTGCTTGTACGTTGTTGGATTTTCTTAATTAGGGGACTAACTGGGAAATGTCTTGTGTGAAAAGCCATACAAGAATCAAGAACTGTGGTTAATTTGGAGACCTGAGAGGCATATGCAAAACAAAGCATGTTAAGCATGCATCCATGCATGCATGAGATCTCAATATCTTCACATCGATCCAATTGACATTTAAAGAAAAAGAAAGTAGTAACAAAGTTTATAGTTCAAACACACCCAATACTAAACATCCATACTTCATTTACTAGATGAACATCAAAACACACCACATTTCATTGACTCAAGCAACGTACATACAGGAACGGCAAAAACTAAAATACAGAAACTTTAAACAATCCTCTAAAAAACCCTAAAAAATAAAGAAAAAAGTGGTAGCTTTTTGGTGATTTGACCATAAACCAAAAAGTAATTTGGGTAGCTAGCACAAAGTTGATCAACATAAGGCAGTAGCATCTTCCTCAATTATTCCGAGCATGTGGTGAACTGCCCCTGCTATGTCATCTACTGAACTGAGTTGGCATCCTTCTTCAACCTGCATTCAGAATGTTTCAAATTTTAGCCCAAAACTGTATGATTTTCTAGAATTATATCGAAAATTATTAACTAAACCAAGGAAATAGTAATAATAAATGAGAAAAAGCAATCTTCCTCCCATTTTTCCCATAAAAAAATAATTTAAGCCAGTACTACTATAACTTCAAAAGGTCATCCAAAATTTATTTAACTTTTCTGAAATTATGGAAAATGACAATTTTTTTTTCCTTTCCAAGGGAAAAACAAAAGTATATATGAGAGGAAAAGACAGTATCTGCCCACTCACCTCATATGACAATAATTGAAGACGACCATCTCTAATAGAATGTCTGAAACACTACTCCTGTAACTTATTATTCTAAGAAATCATACATATAAATTATTATATTTGCTAAAATATTAATTAAGGAACCAAAAATATCCATTGACTAAACATACTATATCACTTTTTGAATTTATTATTTTATATATTTAATTATTTGGATAAAATACATATGTAACTGAGTGATTTTACTATGAGTTCTGAAATTCTAAAGAGATATATTGTCATCCCATGATTATTAGGGGGAAAAGGTATTTTTCTTAAAAAGAAAGATGAAGGTGATGGAGAAAGAAGTGCATATGTTACCTTGGCACTGATAGAGTAGAGAACTAATGGATCCACGGTTATGACATTTAGGTGGAGGATGGAAAGGTAAAGTGACTCAAAACCAGTAACAATCTTGGAAAGCAGCCTGGGACCTTTTCGTGAGAGAATTCGGAGATTAGCATGAGTTTCGATCAATGTCACCTCAATATCAGCTATTGATGCCTTAGTCTTTGATGTATATTTATTAGGGATCTGAGACCAGGTGTACTGAGGATACATGAAAAAATGTGCAAATGGTGGTGATAGCAATATGGAGTTGGTGGTTTCTAATTCATTGGCATCAGCTGGTCTTACTTGATGCAGTACTCGAAGCTTTTGAGCTTCAAGGGTTTGCAGAAGATGCTCAAGTTCCTTCACAAACTCTATAGCACCACCAACTATGGATGCTTGATCACCCTACACATACAAAAATCATCTATGTTTAAGGGTTAAATTAATTAAATTTTTTAAACGCTTGCACTGCTATGGGGATGAGGATATTGAAAGTACTGCAAATTAAAGGAACCATGAGTTCGTATCATGATTCTGCTGAAGTAAATTTCTATTTAAGTCATAATACAGGAAAAAGCTGGTCTCTTTGGCAATATCTTTATATAATTACTATTTCCATAATTTTAGAACTTTTGCATGACTAGCAAACAAGAGAGTAATCCAAAGAATAGAAGAAGCTAAGAATAGAATTATTTTAATATTTGCCAATTCTGCCTGATCTTTTTACCTTGACAAGTTCTGCTAAATTTAAATTTCGCTGCAATGTCATTGTACCAAACTATTATTGAACTTCAGAATTCAATCAGTCCAGCTTTTCAGAGCTGTAGCGAATCACATCACAATTTTACCACTCGAGTATATCAATTAGTTAAACCTTGAAGTAACGATTCCTCTAGAAGTAAAGGATTCTGTAATTGATCAATAAAATATGGTAATGTAGTGTAGCTAACAGAAAAAAAGAAAACATTCCAAAGTCATGAACTATGCATGTTTCAACAATCCAGTTATGTTAAGACACTTCATAACCAGGTTTTCCTAATATAGCCAAACACTGAATGTTGTCTCTTGTCTAGAGTTTGAATGGAGCGACGACCCTTTTAGTCTTAACCAGAAGAGTAATAATTCTCGTTTTCCCTTAAACACATTTGAGGAGAGAAGAAGAGAGGAAAGAAAGATAAAAGAAAATGATGGAGAAGACAAACCCTATGGACATAAGATTCAGGCATAAGGGAGCGTAAAACAGCCAGATGCTCATTCATTTGCTTTCGCCTGTTCCTCTCAACAGCAATGTGAGTCATTCTTTGTGTCTCAGCCTCCTCTTTGTCCTTGCAAACCCTCGCTTTTCTCCTTCTCTTTTTCCTCCCTTGAGCTGCCAAGTTCGGCCTCCGATCAACAGTTTCCGCTCCTGTTGAGTGGCATTGTGGAGTCATCATTGACAAGCAATTCAAAGCACTACTAGCTTGTTCTTGGTAGCTTAAACTATTTTCCAACGAGCATTTAGTCACCAATGAGTCATGGCTGCTATATGGGGTTCCAGATATGGTATCATAGATAACAAAGTTCAAGAGCTCGTTGGAAGAAAGGGTTTCAAGTGCCATTTTCTCTACAATCTCCACAAAGTACACCTCCAAATAATATGACATGAAATACTGGAAACTAGAAATTCTAGTTTCATTTTATAGACAAAAGTCACTTTCTAACATAACCCCGGCACTTGAAATCTTCTTAAGAGAGAGAGAGAGAGAGAGGGGCTAATTAAAAGGAGGTTAAAATGAAGTTAGGAGCTGGGGCTTTGGGCTAGAGAGAAAGATATGGACGCGGGAGGGACAGGGAAAAGGAGTTCTCTTTTTTGCCAGCGAAAAAGTGACGAAAAAAGAAAGAGGCTTTTCCCTTGGCCTCGTTTTGGGGTTTGTCTTCCCGATTTCATAGACGCTGTAAACACTAGCACAGCCTCTGCAACGGAGAGTGTGTGTGGGGCCCAAATCTATATAGAAATATGCATACCAACAACACAAGAAGCTGGGTTACAGTTGCTATTTACATTAGTACCCACACTTTTAATTTAGTGGTTTAAGACATTTAAAAAAATATTAAAGGTTTGATTTTGAACTAACTTTTTTTTTATTTGTATTAAAATTTTATTTTTTTGATGTAACTAAAAAAAAGTTACTATTCATATTCAAATCTGTGTTAAATTTTGCAGGGAAAAACGACTGGCTCACTTGCGCTAGATTCTCATACACATTATTTTACAAGGAAAGCTTAACGTGTGATTGACAACCCATTTTCTGCAGCTTAGTTGGCAATTTTCTTTTCCTGAATTTTCTATCTTGTTTTCATGGAAATTGGATTTTACCTAGGCCTTTATCATTTAACTTGCCAATGATAAAAAAATGCAAATAAACGAATATGTGAGAATCAGTGGGGTAGGCTATTATCAAACATATTAGGCTTAGGTTAAAAAGACATATGACAGTTATTAAAGTGAAATTTTCAGCACTTTCATGATCACTACCGGAAGCATCCCCCACCGTGATGTCAGTTATCGACCCAGCTTTTTGAAGGTGATCAGAAATCCATGAAACGAAGCTTCACGAGACACGAAGGAGTAGCCATTTAGCCTCCCGTGCATCCCCTCCCCCTTCCTTAATTAATTAATTTGAAAAGGCTGTAGTTTAAAGGATTAAAATCTAAATTCAAATTCTCTCTTCTGTATCAACTATGTTCAAATGCACCAAAAACAATTATTAATAGAAAAAAGAATGATAATATATATATATATTTGAATATATTTAATTACTCAAAGTTCAGTACAAAAGATAACCATAAAATAATTATAGAAAGATTAGTACTGAATTAGTTACTGACATTGGCCACAAACAAGGCATCGACAAACTACAGTTCAATGTATAGTCCAAAATATATACCAAAATCCATCAAGAAAAAAATTCGCTTTATGAAAAACAGGAAGGAATCTCGTAAAAAAGGAAGGAAAATGCACGAAAAACTAACATCTGCCCGAAAACCTTTTGAGTAATAATGAAGCCTTAGAAAAAAAGAATTGCCAACAGACATATTTATAAATAATGATTGCTGATGTACTTAAAATTTTGCTTATTATATAGCTTGTCATTATAGAGCCTTAATGGAATTGTAACTTTGCGGCCAAACCTGAAAACATGCAGATTCAAATCATATTTGATTGGATTACTCTCTTGGTATATAATGCCAGCTATCAGAGTCCAAATTACAGAAAGTATGGCTTTAGTACAAGAATTAAAACCACACCAAAACACAGTTAGGGAAAAAAAAAGTCTCAATCTACCCTAAAAATATTTTAAACACACGCCAATAGCGTTGCTTTTAGATTTTTCCGTGTTAGAATTTAAAAAAGCATAAGAAAAATGTCGAGTCATTGCTATTTGCTACTTCTAGTTTACCAATAGTCCTACTTTGCCAGCTATATATGTCAATTTTTTTATTAAAAACATAAATACAAATTCGTATATAAACGTATATAATAATACAGATGTAATATTATTTTCAAAAGTAATAAAGCTGTAAGATTGCATAAAGAGCTTGTGAACGATAGACAACGAGAGAGACCAAAGAAACAATAGGGACTGTCCGCGTGAAAGAGGAACTGATGGTCCAATATGTCAGACATATTGGCAGGTTAGAATCCATGTGGACCGGTCAGCTTCCTAACCCAAAGTACAAACACATTTTGGGCGATCTTCCCAACCTAATTTCTACCCCCATTTTTGCAGGTTTTACCTTTTCCCCTTCCCTTGTCATATTTCATTCTGAATCAGTTTAAGCTTTCCTCTCTCTCTCAGTATTGTTCTTTTGACAACACAAAATGTCAAATATTTACACCTCAGAAACCTCCAAAACTACATACGATTAGCCATCCATACTCTGAGTTGTAAGATTGGTTATTTATCCATCATATGCACACAATACACATACATGCATGTGCATGATCATCGGGCGTGCTGAACGATATTCGTTGGTCTTTAAGGGGCCATAACCAGACTAGCCTCATATAAATGGACGAGCCTTAGTAGCATAAAGACTTCTAAGAAAAACCTTATGCCAACATGTATTGTATTTGAATAGAGTTTCTTTACGAGAAATATATATATATATATATATACATATAAATACCTTAACATTGAGGAAAAAAACAGTTCATGCAAGTAATCTATAATAACAACAGGAGAAGTGATAAACAGTTAATGCTAGAAATGACAACTAACAATCTAAAAGGATGGTGACATCGAAGTGTCCCTCCTTTTAAATTATCCTATCACTACGTATCCATATGTTTACCATATGTCCTATATTCATATCCCTATTTCATAGCTGCAAGCATTACATTACGTTATATATATATATATATATATATCTTCATGCTTAAAAATGCAATTGAGGTTAGATTCCTCTATTTAAGCTGTTTTGAAGACAATTTGTTTCAAATGCACAACAAAACCAGATTATTTAATTATAGCTTTCAAAAAACATTTTGCACAGCAAAATAAGGGTCAACCTACCAAAATTTTAACCTAGCACCATAAAAATCTATGATTAAAATGACAACAGACAATGTCAAAGCATAGACAATCAGGATAAAAAGGGCTGATACTGATAAGTCAAACAGAGTACCCACAAACAAGTTTACCAGCCCTGTGAACATATTTCCCTGCATAAAGAAACGAGAAAACCTGTTGTGTTATTTCTTAGAGCCTAAGGAGGAAAATAAAGAATTCTTTAGGCACATGAATAAAAGAAAGAGGAGGATGTTTACTTTACCAGCAGAAAAAAACCCAGTAAATTCCGGAAAAGAAGCCAATAAATTCCTGTCAAATGCTTTTTCAAGAGATGAAATTTTGCTCCTAGGGACATAGAAAGCATTAGCATTGCTAAAAGCTGTAACGAGGTTAAACCTTTAGCCATTCACCAGATGTGACAATAGATAATAAAACTATAAACATCCTTCACAACTCGAAAGGACAGTGCCTTTTTTCTGTTATTTGGATTTGCAAAGCTTCATATAGAAATGTGAAAGATCAGCAGGCATTTCACTTATAGTTCATAACTAATTGCATCTATGCTGATTGATTTTACCAAAGATAGAAAAAGGTAAACAGGCACGGGATCAGTTTGAGTAATAAAGTCTCTGAAGAGGGAACTTCTTCTCTTGGGAGACTGATGGAGAACAAACATGGGTAATTTGGACCCAAAAATTCCTTATACATGTCATGGTTGATGCTTGATCTTGTGATTCCTATCAATGTTGGGATGTGGAGTACCAAGTCAAAGCAAACAAATTTTCCCTCAGAGTCTCACCATATTGACGCACCATTCTGCACAACACACCGATCTAAAAATGTCAAACTAAGTTTCACATCTCCACCAGATTATACCCTATCTTAAAAGGAAAGGAAACTTACTCAAAGAAAGCCCTTCCTTTTTCAGTCAAACTGGTAGTTGACATAAATACATAATCATTGAATCAGTATCATCCAAACCTTTTTTAAACACAAAAACGTACTAGAGTTGTACATTTTGAGATTCCATGTTGGTTGAAAAAGATACTACAACTAAGACACCAATAGTTTAATAAGTACCCAATCCCTAAATAATGGAAAAGGAAATGTTGATAATATGAAAATCAAGAAACATAAAATTATTTATCAAAAAAAAAAAAACATAAAATTATTCTGTCAATGATTAAGTCCTGACCTGATATATTTTAGGAAAAGGAATGTTTCACATTGATGACAGCTCCTATCTGTCATGAGTTTAATGCATGGATGATGAACATTGTCATTAAATTCTTGAAACATTTAAATAAGGGAGGAAACAAGAATAACCTGCAGATTTTGAGCAAACGTCCAAGTAACATAAGCTAGGTTGTACTGCAGAAATTGGATTGAGTGCTTCCATGATTGTAAACTGCAAAGATAGTTCTAAAAATTAGTAAAATCTAATTTACAAATATATCCTACCATACTATGTAAAATTCTTTCAACATGCCTGTTTAGATGCAATGTTAGAAGCTGCAAAAGACATTGTGGAAATTGATCAGTTCACTTTCCGAGCAATCAGTTTATTGGGAATGGCCACAACCAAAATTGGGTTAACATAAATCATGTGAGAGTTAATATATACCAAAACATTATAGAAAGAAGCCACAATCTAATTTGTGCTCCATTGTTGCTTCTCAGTGTGCCAGAAGAACGATTTCCAAAGAAGAGATAGTAGCCCGCCTGAACAACAATAAGATACATACCCCATTATCCTGGATATGATAACAAGTACTTGACAAGATATTGCATCAGATGACGTGATGAGAAGCAGTACTAATGAAATCAATGGGATTGCACAGATTGCAACATCATTTTACTCTCTTTAGATGAAAGAACAATGAATAGCCTATTAGTATGGAAACAAGTGAAGAAGACACAGATGTCCAAAGGAAGAATACTAAAAAATTAATCCAGAAAATTCCTTTTTCCATCATTTCCAATTTCCTTCAAATCAACACAAGTTGTTATTTTGCTAGGTGAGATTTGAATCAAAGATTGACTTCAGTCTGCTACAGTTTGTCTTTTGCTCAGAAATTAGGATCACAAGTAATCTTACAAACAACATATCCAAGAATAAAGTTACAAATGCAAACAAAATATCTGATAAAGCATAAACCAATAGAACATTAGGTATATCTCCAAATTATCCTTACCAAATACAGAAGTAGGTAAGACACTATACCATAGCAATCCTATAGATATGATTGTCCTAAAAGAAATAGGTCCTTCTAAGTAAGGCAAAAACAATATCAGCACAGCAATACAAGGTTTTGAGTGAATATACGTTTGCATCAAAAACAGTTCCATGCAGAATAATGCTTAATGACCAAATAAAATTAACGAATGCAGCAACTTACAAGTTCTACCTTTTGACTGCAATAGAGACGACCGGCAACAACGATAACAAAATCTATAAATTTGTTATTTGATTTAACATACATTTAAGAAAAAAATTGTAGAAAAAAGTTAAAGAATCTATAAATTTACCAGTCAGGAGCAGATGGAGTGCCGCAAAAGTATTAGAATCTGAATAGGGAAAAAACATTATTATAAGAAAAATAAAGGAATGAAAGGAATTGAAGCATAAAAACTTACAGAGACAGTGGTCGAAAGTGCGGAGATTTCATGATTCCGTCAAATTTCTCACGAATCTGCAGATTAGGGTTTTAAATAAACTTTGGGTTTACTATTATAAGATTAAAGAAAAAGGAAAAGGAAAAGTAGAGAATTGATCGGATTGAAAGATGGAGAGAATCCATTGACCAAAAGTTTCAAAATTAGAACGCGCAGATTTGTCTTCGTTGTTGTAGAAAATCGATGTCTAGCAAGTGTACAAAAGCCAAGAAACTCAAGAAGAACCAAAAGAGGAAAAGAGAAAAAAAAAAAAAAAAAAGAGGGAAAACCTCTTTTTTCTTTGTAGAGAAGAAGAAAACCGTTGAGTTCCGGTTTTTTTTTTTTTTTTTTTTTTTTATTGAGATCATGAATAAATATTAATAAAAAGAATAAAGGAAAGGAAAAAAAATTAAATGAAAAAATGATATATATAATCTTTTAATTGGATAATTAAAATTAATAAAATAAAAAAATATAACAATCATTGTTTAGATAAAGAGTAAAAAAAAAAAGATTTATTATAATAATTTTTTTTAATTATAATTTTTTATTACTTATAATTTTAAAGCACTCATGTATCGTGATATGTTTATTATATTGGTCTGTCTTATAATTGTTGTTATATCAATAATTTTTAATCAAGTAAAACATAAATATATTTTACAAATATATATTGATAGATTTTTAATTAGTCTGACATCTTATAAATCTAAAAAATATATCTATTTATATTCAATTATTTATCAAAATTAAATTATTAAAAAATTATAAAAAAATTTTTATATTGAAATAAATATATGAAACTTACTTTAAAATAAATAACTTTGAAAAATTATAAAATGATTGTGATTGGCTTAAAATTTTTTTATTAGATTTATAATATTAATAAAAAAATAGACATAATAATTTTTTTATAAAAAAAATTAAACTTTTCTTTCTCGAACTTTTTCTCCAAATTGGGATACTAAAAAAAATTAGGTTACAAAAAAAATAAAAAGTAATTTGGTTTCTATATATATATTTTTTAAATTAAAAATTTATAAGTTAGGTCACCCCTTTTTTATAATTGAAACTTTAACAGACTAAACTTGATGGGCCAGAAGCCCATAGCCGACCCGTGGAGTGGGAAAGTTTGGAATAAACCCCAAAATGCCCAATTAGCCTGGATTTGTTGGTGAACCAATCAAAGTAGGACCAAAACAACCCCTAAAATTCATCTATTCTAATCGGCCTAGTAACTTAAATTAAAGATATATAATGATTATATTAGGATTAAGGATGAGTTTAATAGAGATAATAACGATTATATTAGGATTAATTTCCTGACACCCTCTTATGCATATTATAATAGTCAAAGCCAAATCAAGGGCCTATTACTACTAGACAACTGAGTAGAAAATTTTCTCAAATTTCTTTTTCAGCAATTGGAGGTATAAATTTAATCATCACCTTTTTACTGTTAACAGAATTTATAGCAAAGTTCATAAGCTATTAGGCAATAGTTGCAGAAAAGCCCTTCCTGAAACCTTTTGGCCTGTTGGCTGTGAAATGTATCAGACATTGCTTGATAAAGGGAGACGTAGATGTGAAATCCTTCAACTTCACTCTTCATCTTTCAAAAAATAAAAATAATTGGAAGACGTGAGTTTGTTTTTTTTTTTTTTTGGATAAACTGAATTTTAATTCATCTAAAAACAGTAAGAATTTGCTACAATATAATTGTTCTACAACTCAACAAACAAAGGAAAAACAATTTGTTAACAAATTATTTTAGAAATTTTACATTCAGATTCTAATCTTCACTAAGTTTTTTGTTTACCATATCTCCTGCAATATGTTTCAATCCATGCAACCTGCATCTTACAATTTTCTTGACTTTGTCCACCATTTGTGCAGTCGTCATCTCCCTTTGCTTGAATATCCTCTGATTCCTCTCCCCTCATATGAAATATATACATGCATTCCAGGTAATTTTTAATAGAATTGAGATAAAAGCTTTCTCTTTTAATCTGTTTTTTGTCCAGCTCAGTTATGTGTCCCAACTTCGTACTCTTCTATCAATGTTGCATAGCTGCAGGATCTTTTGCCAAACTTCTTTTGAATAAACACACTCAAAGTAAACATGGTCTCGTGTTTCATCTTCATTGTAGCATAAGTTACATCTACTATCAATTCTCATTCCCCATGATCGCAATCTATCCTTCATTGGAAGCCTATTTAAAATCGTCATCCACGTTATTAATGAATGTTTGGGATGTGATACTTGAACCTTATTAGTTTCTACCATCCCACTTTTCGTTGTAGTCTGATCTTTTCCCATACCATGGCAGTGTCATAACATTCTTTTGGAAATGGCTATACCTATACTTGGTTTTCCTTTTTGATGAAATTTTGTGCGATTTACCTTATTTGAAGCAATTTCCTCCAATTCCAACTGCTAGTTTGCTTGGCTGCTACTTGCCATATGGTCTTTCCCTTCAATTCATAAGCTTCAATCCAAGCGATCCATAAAGAATCAGCTTTTGCAATTATCAACCAGATGTTTTGCAAGACACAAGCTAGATTTCAGGTCAAGATATCTTTAACTCCAAGCCCTCCCTCAGACTTAGGATAGCATATTGCCTTCCAACTTTAGCTCTTTTTGCTAATCCTACTTTTCTTTTCCAAAAGAAACCAGAACATAACTTGTTTATCCTCTTCAGCATATGTTTTGGGAGGATGAAATGCCTACACCAATAGCTCTACATGCTAAAAAGCGCTGATTGTACTAGTTGTAACCTGCCAGCATATGATAGGTGTCTTGTAGCCCAGCTGTTAATCCTTGCTGTTATCTTGTCAACTAAGGGTGCGCAGTCTTTCTCTGTGAGCCTTCTAGACACCAATGGGACCCCAAGGTACCTGACTGGTAACGTACCAATCTTAAACCCAGAAGCTTGCTGGATTCTGACAAGTTCTTCCTTACTAACCCCTGCCTGATAAAGCTCACTTTTCTCATAGTTCAACTGTAGGGCAGACATAGTATAAAATGCCTCTAACACCACCTTTATACCTATCACTGAGTCCAATGTTCACTTTACGAAAATCAATAAGTCTTCAGCAAAGCAAATGTGAGTTAATTTAATTCTTTTGCATTTAGGATGATAATCAAAGACACCATCTACGACAGCAGCATCCAATAGTCTGGACAAAACATTAATAGCTAGATCAAACAAGTAAGGGGAAAGTGGATCTCCCTGCCGCACTCCCCTTGCTCCTTTAAAATAGCCTACAAGTCCACCATTAATCGATAAAGAGAAGAAAGTAGTAGTAATGCAACTTCTTATCCATCCTATAAACTAATTCGGTAACTTCATGGCATACAAGACTGAGAATATGAAGCCCCAGTCCACTGAATCAAAAGCCTTCTGAAGATCAATCTTGATTGCACATCTTGGAGATAAAGTGGATCTGTCACATCCTCGAACCATTTCTTGAGCTAGCAATACATTATCTGTGATGCTTTTACCTTCTATAAATGCACTTTGATTATGACTTATCATCCCAGGTAGAGTTTCCTTCAACCGGTTAGTCAGAATCCTAGCGATACATTTGTAGATTGTGGTGCAGCAAGAAATCGGCCTGTAATCCCTTATACTATTAAGACTGGTGCATTAGGAACTAATGCTACTATTGTAGAATTGAAAGCAGATAGCATATTCCCAGATTGAAAAAATTGCTCTATAGCCTTAGTAACATCATCTACGACAATGCTCCAAGTTTGTTTGAAGAAATGAGCATTAAAACCATCAGGTCTTGGGGATTTCTCACCAGTCAATGAGAACATTGTCTTCTGAATTTCCTCTTTAGTTACTGGTTGTATGAGAAAATCTTGAGCCTTTGCAGATAAGGTCCCTTGGAGAAGCTCTGCCAAAAACTCATGTATGCATCCCTGTAACATTTTGATCCACAGTTCCAATTAACTTCTGAAAGAAGGAGGTTGCTTTCTGCGAAATTTGGTCAAACGTATCCAATCTTTTCCCTTCTGAATCCACTAAGACTCGTATAGTATTCTTTTTATGCTTTGCTGCTACCAAATTGTGGAAAAAATTTATGTTTTGATCACCTTCTTACAGCCATCTTATTCTTGATTTTTGCCTATAATAACTCTTTCAGCCTTCATCAGGTCCTTGAGTTTTTCATATAGCCTTCTCTCAATCACAACCAGTTCTTTTGGTGGGTTTTGAGCTAGAATGGCTTCTTGCATTAGTTCCAGCTCTTTCCTCTTTGTCTACACTCTACTAGACAAATTTCCATAGTTTTGAATATTGAACTTCCTGAGCTCCAGTTTCAACCTCTTTAATTTCTTATGCAATATTAGCATTGGGCTACCTTTAATAGGGTCTTCCCAGGATTTTTCCACAATTAACTTGAACTTCCGGATTCCCTGTCCAATAGTTAAAAAACTTAAAAGGCTTTGGAGGGGATTGAATTGTCATGCTGAGTTTGACAAGTGAAGCACAGTCATCAGATACTTCTGGAGCCAAGAACTCGACATGCGACTGTGGGGGAGCTAAAAGCCAAGAGTCGTTTATCAATACTCTATCCAACTTCCTTCCTAAGTAACTTCGTAACTGATGGTTAGACCAAGTAAATTGAGGTCCAACATAAGCATGATCAAACAAGCCTAGTTGAGTTAAGCAATTCTGAAAATCCTTCATCTCTGAGTTTGCTGATTGATCTCCATTATAATCTGAGCTTTCAGAGGGATGGACTATAATGTTAAAATCCCCAGCCAAAATCCAAGGGTCGTCTTGCAATATACCACTGATGTGAGTTAAGTTCAACCACAGGTTCCTTCTTTGAACACCGTCGTTATTCCCATAAATGGCAGAAAAATAAACTTTCCTGATTTCATATTGTAACACATAAGTAATACTTTGCTCAGAAAACTCTAGTGGGTCTACTTGCACATGATCTCTGCATAATAACCATATCCTTCCGTTTGGAGATGCTGCATAATTGTGAAGAATACACCAACCACAAAAATGCTTTTCCAGCACAGGCTACATTTTATGATGCTTTATTCTAGTTTCTAATAAACACACAATATCTGCCGTATTCTATTTATTCTATCCACTACACTTATTTGTTTTCGAGGATCATTAAATCCTCTAGCATTCCATACTATGAGCTTCATGTTGAAGAACAACTAGGCTTACCTTCAAAGGCAGTGGTTCCTGCCTTTACCTTCTTCCCTTTATCAATTGGACCATTTTTCTTGCTTTTAAGGGCCTTCATTAAATCATCGACACCTGCAGCTGCTGCTCTCTGTTTCTTTGGTGAGTATGGAATTATCTCTTCAGCCTCATTTTTTGAGCTCTGATGTACATTACCTTTATCCACTACTAATTCTGATTCCTGCACAGCTTCTAGGATCGAGAATCTATTAACAGAACCTGCTCTAGCAGTTGAGAGTACAATCGGAATCATAGTCTCCCTTATGGCACTATCTGGTTGTATCTCAACCACTTCAGTCAACTTCGCCTCCTGCACAGCTGTATTATTGTCGTAACGATTTTGAGATTGCGATACGTAAAATGTTTTATAATTGAAAAAAATTAAAAGAGAGTCGTCACCAATCTTTGTTGAGGTGTGATTGATCATCCAAAAGTTTATTTTTTTAATAAAACCATAAAAGTGAGTTTAAAATTTATCAAAAAGATAAATTTTGATCCACAAAAAATCAGGTTGGGTCCGAGAGTCGGTTACGTGTAGGGAAAGATTAGCACCCCCACAACGCCCATAACTTGGTACCATTTAATTACGCGTTATTTTTGGAATTTGATAAAAATAGTTTCAATTTGAAATTTAACATTAATTCCCTTTATTTGAAAAAATAAAATTTTGCTAAAGCTCTTTATTTAGGAATATTGAGAAAATCTTAAAGTTAAAGAATTATTTTAAAATTCTCTAACATCTAGGTAGAATTTAAAATAATTCTTTTCGCTTAAGATTTAACACGATAATCCTTAAAATGAAATAACAATCTTTATAGAAAATCATTGTTAGTGACTCTCCAACATCTAAGCAGAGTATCAAGAATTATTTCTTTCGGAATGTTATTTTTATTTTATTTTATAATATCACAAAATTTTTCTTAAAATGTATTATTCTTTTTTATTATAAAAAATTTTATCATCAAATAGTAAATTAAAGAGAGAATAATGCAGATAATTATCGATGATAACACGACAACGTATGTATGCTAATAAATGTCATGTAAAATGAAATGCAATTTAAAAGTTGGGTTCTTAAGTACAATGAGACACCCCGACTTTTCAACATCTAGGCAGAGTTTAGGTGCGACTGTTTATATTTAAGATCCTAATTTACTATTATGCTTTTTATTTATTAATTTTATTATTAATGCAAATTAAGAAATCGTGTGAAAAAACTTAACGAAGTAAAGCTTCCTAAATACCCCATTATCTAGGCAGCATTTAGAAATAAATTACTTCAAATGAGATTTTCACATGTGTCCGTAAGATTTTCAAAATATTTTGAGTAAGGGCTTGAGTAGAGGTTTTAAAGTTTGAATGATTTTTTTGGTAATGATTCGAGAATGCATACCGAATTTGGGATTTTTAGAATTTAGAATTTTAAGGTTTTGGATTTTAGGGTTTTAGTTTTAGGGTTTTGAGGTTTGGGGTTTTGATTTTTTGGTTTAAGGTTTGAAGTTTAGTTTCAAGGTTTGGGGTGATTAGGAATTAGTTTTAGGGTTTTGAGATTTGGGGTTTTGATTTTAAGGTTTGGAGGGTGTAAGGTTTTGATTTTAGGGTTTGGAGGGTTTAGGAATTAGTTTTTTTTATTTTTTTTTATTTAAAAAATACGAACATCTCTAAAAATTCTCAACATTGAGGTGAATTTTCGGAGTAAGTTCGATTTTTATAATTTTTAAAATTAATTAAAAATGTATTATATACTTCTTTTTTATGAAAATTTGTTAATAATAATTTTTCAACATCTAGGCGAAATTATTTTTAGGAATATATTTTTATTCCCTCCAACATCTAGGCAAAGAAAATAATAAAAATTATTATTATTATTCTTTTTTAAACATTTTTAGTTTTTTTAGTCATTATTTTACTATTTTATTTTTATTATTATTATTAAATCTAAAAAATTTTAAAGTTTATCATGCATAAATATATAAAAAAAAACTCAAAATAACAAAAATAATAATATATATAAAAATTAGAAAATTAAAAAAAAAATTTTTTATCTAAACGAGACCAGTCAACGGCGGTTTGGCTGGACTGAAAAGGGTTCAGTTTGACGTGCAATTCGGTTGAACCGACTAAATAGTGGTTCGGGTTGGTCTAGAGAGCGGTTCGGTTCGATCCAGTCTAGTCAAACCGGTTCAGAGCTACTGAAAAGCTGGGTTGACGGGTCGGTTACGTGGATCTCGAGTCGAATCCAGGTCTACGCGCGGATCCTCCTAGGTCCAATATGATGTCGTTTTGGCATTTGCTTTTCTTATATAAAAAGCAACTTTTTTTTAACTCATTTTTTCATTTTTACAAAAACAAAATTCAATTCAGAAGCTTTCTCTAGCTTCACCGGAGTCCGATGTACTGCCGTTACGCCTGTCGCCGCCTAGATCACCGTTGGCGATCATTGCCGGTGGTAGTCGATGGTCGAAAAATACCAAAAATACTCTTAAAAGTGCAATTCAATGCGCTCTTCCTGGATCTGATATTTTTTTGGTCGAAAATAGCCCCGATCAGTGTAGATTGGGGCTCAAAGTTCCTGTTTCCCTTTTTTTTTTAAACAAGACTGATGTGAATTTTTTTTTTTACTTTTGCAGGTAAATTTGGCATTGGGTTTCTCCATACGATGATGATTGTTTGTCTTTATTTTTTTGTTTCTGTTTTTTTGTTTCTATTTGGTATGGGTCTAGTAAGGGTTAAGGCTCAGACTGGGGTGTTAGTATGGGTGCTGAGCTTGTTGAAAGGGGGTTGGGTAGTGATGAAAGTAA